GTTTTTCCACCTCCATGCGATGCTGAAGTGCATGCAGTTCCCCTTCAAGGCGGTGTTTCTCCTCCTCATGACGGACCTTCTCATATTGTTTCGATTCTATTAACGAACCAATACGTTCACGCATCTCAGTTATTTGCTGTTGCTGTTGTTGTATTTGTATGCGTGCCTCACGGCTCCAGTTTAACTCAGCGTCGTCCACAATACCCGCAGCGGCTATTCTACTTTCCAGAAAAGCCTGATACCGCAGTAGTTCATCCAACACCTCTGCATGTTGCTTCTGCTCCTCCTCTAAAACATTCGTTGCGGTAAATTGAATAAGATCAACAACACCCCGCAGGTGTTCGGCCATTGCTGCTCTCTCACCTGAGAGAAAAATATGCATCGCCTGTTCAAGTGGAGATACAAATGCTTTGTAATGATCACATGCTGCACATGATGGTTGCGGAAGGCCTATAAGAGCCTCACTGGTCTCTAAGGCATGAGAAAACGCATTAGGGCAGTACTCAAGTACTAGACCTTCGCGGCCAGCACACCAATCCGCACCAGTTGCCATAAATGCATCAGAAACTGTACTGTAGAGCTGCAGAATCATGCACATATTTACTTCAAGTTTGGCAAGTGCTTCTTCTGAATTGACCTTCGCTGTCTCCATCTTATCCAACATCAGTGACTTCTGTGTTAAATCAGCGATACAACCATCAAAGAGTTGGTTTGTATAAGAGTATAAAACATCCAACTTAGTTTCCATCTTTACCGTCATACACTCAAACATGTTATCTAACCAAATAGTTATCGCTTCCATTTGACTCTCGCTACGGCGGTGTCGACGTCTTTCTGTGAATAAACGCCAATGACTAAATGCATCTCGTGCACAGTACTCCACAACGAGTCGTCCCATCGCTTGTAACTCCATAGTTGACGCATCACGTGCCTTCTGTAGTGCCCGTCTGTGGACTGCCATAGACGAAATGTCATATCGCTGACGCAAACTGTATCGTATGTACAACTCATCATGCTGCAGCGATAAACGACCGGCACGCTCCACAGCAAAAAGACGATCCATTCGTAGAATGTGCATTTCGTATAATTGCTGCTGTAGATATTGCCGCGCTTCTGTCCGCAGCTCAGCGGCGTGAGACATCTCAACCGAGTGCTCCTCACGGAATTCTTCAAAGAGTAACTCTGTCTCTTCACGTGCCGCTTCACTCCTTAAATACTTCCTGGCAGTTATTTCTAATTCAGTAATGTAGCTTCGGCATTTTTTTTCCTCTAGCAATAAGTGCTGCAATATGGTATATTGTAGTTGTTCCTGTTGCTGTTGCGCCACCTGTTTGGCCGATTCCATCGTTGCATGAAGCATCGCTTCATTCTTTGTTCGTTCACAAGATATCCAGCTCTGCCACTCTACCCGTATTTGTTCATGCTCCTCTTTTAACGCATATATCTTCTCACATGCTGCACGCGACTCCCGCGACGCCCTTCGCTGCATTGTGTATTGTCGCCATAATGCCCAAGTACGCCACATAGATACAGAGTGATTCATACGCCGCAGTAGTTTCACGGTTGTTTCTTCATAGTGACGTACACTCATTTCCTGTTTCTGCTGCTGTTGTCTGAGTGTCGTTTCACCCTTCTCGATTTGCCGCCGTGCTTCCTCGCATTGTTGCTCTTGTAACAGTACTCGCTCGCTCAGTGGCGCTAAAAGAAGAACATCTTCCTCTAACGCTGCAACCTTTCCGATCAAATTTGAAATGTAGCAACCAGACTCTCGAACTATCGCCATCGCTGCATCATGCAGTGCAGAGACCTTCAAGCGGACACAATCACCTACTGCAGTACAGGTAACATTCATAAATGTCACAAATGATTCCTGCTGCGCTGTCATAACGGTTAAGAGCTGTTCCGCCTTTCGTTGATGTGTTTGAGAGAGTTCTTCAGCAATAATCACATCATGCGTGATGCGTCGCTCCCGTTCCGTGTAGTGTAGAGACATTTCTTCTTGTTGACGCACATACGTGCTTGTACGTTCACTGAATTCGTATGCCATCTCATCCATGGTTGTCTTAAGCCGTGCAATTTCTTCCTCTAATTCCTGCTCTATACGGGCCTCACTGTTCTTATCCCGAGTTTCCCGCAACTTCTCAAGTTCAAGAAGTTTTTCTTGTTGTTCTAGTTTTGCTTCTGCACGATGTACTTCCCGCGTGGTACGTCGCAGTTCTTCTTCCAGTTCTTTCTCCCTAGTACGTTGAACCGCTAGCGCCAGATGCAGTCGCTTTACTTTCCATCGATAGAAGCACCGCAGACGCAGTTCTCTCCCTGTCTTAACAGATGCATAACAGCTTGCAACTGATGCGCGTGTTTTGTTTAACTGCCGAATTCCCTCAATACGTTCGCGATTTGCGCGGGCTTGGAGAGTCCGCTGCAGCCAACGGTTCATAACTCGCATTGCCAAACGACGCGCGGAGGTCCTCTGCGCAAACAGCACTGCGTCATTGTGTGCAGCCGTAAGGCGGTGATCAGTCGCTGCGAGTTGCTGCTGGAACTGTTCCTCCCGCCGCCGCTGTGCATCCTGTTGCGCCTCAAAGTATCGCCGCATTGCACGCTTTGCCACCTCCATATTCCTCTGCTGTGCCGCACTAACACTACCACCATCACTATCGCACTTTTCCTTCAGAAGACAACAGAAGAGGTGTGCACCACGCTCAAGGTAGCGCACCGCCTCTTCCTGCTTTGCTTGTGCCGCACACTGCAGTGATATTGCCGTATTATTTTCTCGCCCTGCTGGTGTTCCTGCAGTACTGCCATGTTGATCATCCTGTACGCAGCGGAGGGTGATGAGATCCCGCTGTGCTTGCAGCACCGCACACTGCGCCTGTCTAAGTGTTTCCAGAAGCTCCTCCATTGCACCAGGCTACATAGAAACAGAAAAACAAAGAAGAAAGGATAAAAGAATAAAAGAATAAAAGGATAAAAAGAGAAAAAGAGAAAAAGAAGACAGACAGTGAGAGAGAGAAAGAAAGGAAAAAAAAAAAAAACAAGCCTCAATATTAGCATAGAGAAAGAAAAAGGAAAAAATAAAACCATCTGAGAACTAAGAAACGGTAAAGGTACCCTTACGATACTCCGAGAAGGATTATGGCGATGCGTTAACACTAGCAAAGATTTTGTACGTCTGCAGAAGACACCATGATAAATAAGAATAATCAAATGGCCTACGGTTAATCACCTAACCACTAAAAGAGGACATATAGGAAAACTCACTACCATTCAAGGTAGTAACCAATAACGTGGAGTCATCCACATCTTTACAGTAACCAAAGGAACTAAGCTCCTGCTTACGCCACTTCTTCTTCTTTGCTTCGCCAAAATACAGGCAAATAAGAAAAAACAATGTCACTTCCAAAAAGACTAAAATTACGACAAGTAACAAAACCAAAGTATACCAATACACCTCAAAACAAAAAAAAAAAACCTTTTCTCCATCACATATAAACACCGCACATACAAAATTTGAACAACTTCTAAATAAACACTCTGCAACAAAACAACACCATAAAAATATACAAACAAAAAAACAATTAACAAAAAAAAGTAACAACAAAAAACCACATAATTATCCTAAAAATCTAAACTAATATAAACAAAAGAAAAGAAAAAAAAAAATATATATATATATACCTCATCAACACAAGGAAATAAAAATCAAAAACAAACACAAACAAACAAAAAAAAAACAAAAAAAACACCACAACTTCAGCAAACCAAAGATAAAATAGAACTCCACAAATCAACCAATAAATCTACTTTTCCCCAAGAAACTGATAAAGACGTAGCAGCGAAAACCACATTCATCGTGTACTATTTATCAACAGAATCAATCTCACTAAATGAATGAATCGATTCCATCATCTGTGTTATACGCTCTATAGTCGCAGACTCCCGAGAAGCTGCATCTGCTTCAGAGAACCTCAGCAGCTCCTCAGCCCGCTCCACATGTCGCAACATAGCATCTTCAGCCTCTTCAGCATGCATCACCGAATCTTCAAACTCACGCATTAATTGCTTCA